ACAGCCACTCCCCAAGTGATTCCAGGCAATTTCTACAGCCTGGGATTCGAGGTCCTTTGGCAACTGGGTCTATATTTCCTTTTGAATTTTGTCTGAGCAATCCTCTAAAGGAATTCACTTCTCTGGGGATGCAGCATACCTTCGTGCTTCCCCCGCGGCGGAAGATCACTGCCCTCTGCTCTTGCTGTTGGCTGAGCTCTCTCCCGCCTCCAGCCAGCTTCTCTTGCTGAGATGCCCCTCAGGTCCGCACCATGACTGCTGTATGTGTTCCGAGCTTTTCTCTTAGCCTGCTCTTTCCCACACGTTCTACCTCTCCCTGGTGCCTATGGGCTGTTACCATGTTCAGAGTTTCAGTCTTTCCTCCTCAAGCAAATTCAAAACTCAAAAGGAGATACTGTATCTTTATGTTCTGTTTCCCCCACAGCATGCAGCACAAAACTGGGTACCCATAGGCATTTCGTATTTATTGAGGATTGGAGGAGCCTCCCTAACCCCCAGGCCCAGAGAAGGTGGCCTCCGAGCCTCAGCTGCCTGGGTGGTCAAGGTCCAGAACCCCTTCCAGATTCTTCAGGTTTCTGGGGCATCAACCTTCAGCATCCCCTTTGGTGCCTGCCCCCAGGTGAGCTGCCTTGCTGTGTAGAACGCTGCGCCAGATGTAAAGTTGGCGAACAATCAAACACTCGCACAAAGCACTAGAGAGCCTGTAGGGCTTACTGTCGTTTTGAGGAAGACATGGAGAAGTGTTTCTACCGTATGTTCATCAGTGACCTTCGTGGGCCTCCAGCCCCTCCTTCCCTTCTCTTTATTCCCTACCCCCTTCCTGTCAAAAGCGGTGCCCCAAGCTGCCACCCCCATCTCCTTGCACCTTCTCTGCAAAGCACCTACCTCTTTCTCTCGGGGTCCTGGACCTGTGCCGCCACTGTTTTTAGGGCCCTCCTGGGACCCCAGCAGCAAACCAGAAGTTATTTTCTCAAAGAGAAAGTTCCCTGTCTCACGGGAAATCAGGCACTGCTGTTAGACTTTTAACCTGGTTACACTGAACCATCTGCTTACTTTAGGGGGGGTCCATTTGGGGGCTGCTCCTTCCTCATCTCCTTTACTGTGCCCCCAGCCATAAGACTTGCTGTCCCCTCTCCCCCAGCCTCAGGGTTTCATCCCTGTGCATTTCCAAAGGGGCCTTGCTCTGGACCCCCCAGAACCTTGGACTTTAGTCAAGCACTTTCCCCACAGTAACTTTTTCCTTCTCAAGGGGGGGGAAGACTGACAGATCAGAGAGAGCAGACATGGCAGTGGGCTACTTAGCGTATTTAGTGTATCCGCTCAACAACACAATCACTCCTTGGTGGCCCCTAGCACGATGACACAGCAGCGGTAAGTGCTTGCTCTCCCTTGCCTGGATTTCTACCGCTTAGCTCCACTAGTTCTCCGTCTGGTTGACCTCTTCCTCGTGTCTGTTCAGATCAGTACAAGCTAGCTCCATGGAAAATACGGCCAATGCCTTCAAACACGTCCTATCTCACCTCACCTGCCCGGAAGACATACCCATTCACTACACTTCATAATCGTGAATTTTCTCTTATCTCTCCGGCCTCCTGGGCATGTTGAGTCCCCAGATCTCACATCCCTGGCAAGTTTTTCCTATTTAAGTTTTCCTGGTGCACGTAGCTTGGGGGACCCTGTTCAAATCACTCCAACAATTGTACTACTTCCTCAACAGCCCCCAATCCCTGCCCCAAAAATCACATGAAAAACCAAGAGGGTGCTGCCAGTGATTCTCACTTCTGAGGGATAATTTCTAGTTTTTAAAAATAAGTTTAATAGCTACCAGTGGTTTTTTTTTTTTTTTTGACTTAACACGATTTTAAAAGAAGTTTGTGATGGATAATAACTGTGTGCCAAGAAGGTGACTGGACTTCTGAAGAGTTCATGTATGTGAACATGCACGTGAACGTGAGTGTGGACATGCATGTGGACATGCGTGTGGGAAAGCCACACAGGTGTTAGCTGCTTTTCTGTGGGAAGAGTTGACCCTTGAAGAAAAGTAAAATAGTTCTCCCCTGACAGTTATCCAACAGAAGAGGAGATGTTTCCGCAGCAGCCTTCCTCATCCACAGACAAAAGCCACTTAACAAGCTGGACCATTCTCAGATTCCCGGCTTTGCTCCTGCAGCTCAGAGACGCTCCCGCCCATCTTGTGGGGCTGCCCCTAGGTACGGACTGAAGTGCCACGTGGGGCTTACGGTCCCCCCTGCCTGGTAGCAGGCGGCCCGGCGCTGGCCGCTGAGAGTCTCCGTCTTCTCCTTCCTAAGATGGGCGTGGGGACTAATGAGATACTGTTGCACATGTTAGGGGAGGGTGACGTGCCACTAGGTGGGCCCCTTTGGGGACACATGCACCTGCCATCACCGCCAGGCGATGCCCTGCCTGTGGGCCCTCCTCCTGGGCAGGTCTGCTCCTGCGGCCGTGTCCCCACGAACCCCACGGCTGGTCAGCGGGCTCCCCTCCCTCTGCGGTGCCTGGGGCTGTGGTGGGGGCTCCGGGCTTTCACAGCTTCCTCCCCATCAGGCCCTACCTGAGCGCCATCTTCCTGGGAATGCTTGGGAATTGTGCTGTTCTGAGCCTTCTCATTCTTATTTGTTGGGTACAGCTGCAGATTTATTTGGCATATGGGCATCTTATATGATTTTGAGGAGCTCTGTGAGCGGGAGGGAGAGGTGGTCATGTTTCCCTGCACACGATGACGGAAGTGTCAGTGTATTTACACGATGGTTCTTTGATCCTGGTGAGTGTGGAACTGCTTGTTTATGCCACTCTTTTATTTTTAAGGAGTAACATTCTACACATCATTCCAACTGTATCTTAGATCCCTGAAATTATAAGGCAAGATGATGGAGGAAAACGGCATCCAATCATGTTTAAATGCAAATATTCACCCCGACGGCTCTCACTAGCAATTTCTGTGGAAGTTCTGGGGCCTCAGGCAGGCCGCTTCGCTCCCGCACTGCTCTGACAGATGCCTGCTTCTTCCTTAAAATAACTCAGACTGACCTTTCTTTTTAAATACATATTTTTTAAGTTTATTTATTTAAGTGCTCTCTACCGCCATCATGGGGCTTGAACTCGTGACCCGGAGACCAAGAGTCGCAAGCTTTTCTGACTGAGCCAGCCAGGCGCCCCAGATTTACCTTTCTTTCTCTCATCTACCTGTTCTTATTCTCCCTTCCAGCACCACACAGTATAAATGGTTCACCTCTTTTCGGGGCAATTTGTCAGTTTTCTTAATATCTTCTAGTTCATGGCTGTGAGATATGACACGTCTGCTAAGTTCCTTTGGAGCGTTTCCTCTTGTACCTCAACTTGTCCACCCTGTGCAACAGGACAGGTGTCTTCGTGTTTGGACTCTGTATGGACACAACCAACATCTACTGGGAGCTGACTCCTAGCAAGCAGGAGGAAACTGGAGCCCCACCCCCTCCCCATGTACTTACCGTATTCTTTTTCTCCCAGTTGTGAACTTGGATGGCATTTTTTTTTTCCCATTTAATATAGGAATCTGACTTTACATGGTATCCCTACTATATCCAGGTTGGGTTCATTTCACCCATTCTATTACATGGGGGGATCCTGACCCCCAGGCAATATTTTAGTCCTCCTATGTTTTGTAACATTTGAAATGAGATGGGTTTGCCTCTGGGCCTCACCCAGTCACTGATAAAATATGAAGAGAGAAGGCCAAGGGCTGAGAGGAAACCACATTTCTCTACAAGCCAGGAAATTTCAGAGAGAAAACTGACCAAAAGGTCGCCGTGACCAAAAGGACAGAGTAGGGAGCATGTATGTGGCCCTTTAACTCAAAGGGCCACTTTTAAAAATATAAAGGAGTAAGCTTTTGTTCAAACTGGTCAGCCAAAAAGACCGCAGCCCTGTAAATGGGGTGTTACAATCAGGCCCCTCCTGGGGGGCATCATGACATAGGGGCAGTGAGCAGAGTGAGGGTTAAGTCCGCATATGTCCCGTGCGCCTAAAGCCCCTCCACACTCTGCAGAACAGGAGGGAGGTCAGCGGGAAAGAGCTGGATCTGGAGAGGGCCTTCGTGAGGACAGTAGCTTTGGAGAAGGCTGGGCTCAACCAGCATCTGCCTGCCCCTCTCACCCCACCCGGGAGCCAGTCCCACCCTGCAACAGGAGACATTTGGTCCCACCACACCTACTTGTACAGGCAACTGCGGAGGCTGGACGAATCATCAGTAACCGTCTTAGCGTTAAGTGACTTAGAATGACGCTTTATTGTGGGCTTCTGCATTATAGTTTCTACTATTGAGCTACCATTTATATTCATCACTGGCCAAGTGGAAAATAACAAGTCATGATGCATACTCAAGACTATACATGCTGGAATGGGATAGCTGATGTGTTCTTGAAATTTTGGAAATTAAATAAAAATGGAATTTCACTAGCTTAATTCCCTAGATGGTTATAGTCAAGAACTGTTAAGATTTAGAATAACATGAAAGTGATTTCATCCTTAGTCTTTAGACACTCTTTTTTAAAAGAACCTCTAATTAATAAAGTGGGTCAGTGACTCAAGCATCCACATGAATGTGTCATACTCAAAAAAGAGATGACCCAAGAGAGGCTGATGCCAGACAACTTGGATTTTTCTACTTAAAACAACAACAACAAAAACAAAACCACAGAAAAGTTAAGCTTAAAGAAAAATAATAGATAATGGGGAGTAATTTAGTAAATTAGTCTCAAATGCAAGAAAAGTCATTGTTATTTTTTTTTTTTTTGCCCTCTCTTTGTAAAGTTTCCAAACTTACTATAGCCCGGGCCAAACTAGAAGAAAAACAAATTATGTGCTGAACTTACATTTTGGCTTTCCCTAACGCAGGGGAGAAAACTCCCCCGAATGAGTAAAACATGGAATATTTTAATATCCACTTTTAGAACTCAAATTGCTTTTTTTTCCCCATAAAATCAAGTGCAATGGAGCAGAAGTCTGTGTTTGTCACCAATCCTTTATTGAAACTGGTAACTGACACGCTTTATAATAGAACAACAAAAATAATGTTCAATATATACAGGCTTTGTATGGACTATTTTACTATACAGAAGGCAGAGTTGATAACACAATCTAATTTCCATAATAATTTGTGCACAAAAAGACACCCAGCAGACAATGTGTGAACATTACAGTGGAATGACATCACGGGTCCAGTGAAAATTCAGCCTAATACAAAACGTACTCATCTATTGCAAATGACGGCTTTCTAAAGACCCAGAGCTTTTCAGTAGTAATTCACCCAGAGTCCGAAGCAGAGATTTGGTGTGTGGCTATGAGTCTCTTCAGTGAAACCACCTCTGCAGATAAGTTTGCTATCCCCTGCTTCAGAAACAAATTCTCTGGGTCAGACACTTTGTAGCCACTGTCTTGCATTTCCACAACTCCAGTTTTGAAGCTATTCTGAGTTTTGCCATTAAGTTCTTTTTGATGCCAGTGTTCCGATTTGAGAGACCAATCTTGAATATTAGTCACCTGCACTGAAAAAGGGGTGAGGGCAGAATGTACCATACTTGGGGCAGTATGCTTCTCGAGTTCGAAATGTCTCTTGGGCGTCCCGTCCATAGGCGAGGCCGGTTTCGGTGCGGCGTCAAACTCGTGATCGAACGCTTCTACTTTGATCTGCATGGCTTTGGCTTTAATGCGGAGCTTGTGCGGCAAGGCGGAGGAGTTCACTTCTGGAACCTTCACCACGGTGGCATGGCCGCGCTGAAGCTCCACGGGAGAATGGATGGGGCCCTTGGGAACCTGCTGCTCATCTTCTCCGTCGGATGACTTCCCCACCGCGCCGTCATCTGTCTCCGACGTCCTGGGGGAGTTGCTGGAGGACCGGGCGACCTGCAGCAGAGGGGGAGAGTGGGAATAGCTGGGGAACGTGGTCCCCATGAGGTTCTGATATACAGAGGCCCGGTAGGCGCCCCGCTCATCACCAGGCTCCCTCGAGTAGCTCTCCAGTTCCACGGGCTCTTGCTTGATGGCCTGGAACTTGCTCTCGGGGCTCCCACAGCCACCCCGCACAGCCCCGTCCTGCGAATGTTCCAGCGAGGACACTTCAGAAACGTCGGACAGGGAGGCCTGTGGGGAGTGCTTGATGACAGAAATGCAGCCGCTCGTCACCATCGAGGGCTCGTGCTCATCCACAAAGGGGCCGGTGCTGGACTTGGACGCCTGGTAGTCTTGGAAGTACACAGCGGTAGAGTGACTGAGTTTCTGAATCTCTTGGGCATAGGCTGTGGAGCTAATTAAACCAAACTTTAATTTTAGGGAGAGCAGCTCAGCTTTTAAAGTGGCGTTTTCTTCTCCCAGGGCAATCAGTTTGTTCTCCAAAACCAGGTCATTCAGTCGACGTTTCTCCCGAGACCTCTTTGCAGCTTCGTTATTTTTCCGCCTCTTTTCCCAATACATGGCATCCTTCTTCTCATCGGGAATGAATTCCCGTTTTCTCCGACACGCGGAAGATTTGCTCTTCCCCACGCTGCCTTCATTCAGAAGCAGCTCTTCACCCCCTGTCAAGTCTTCCGAGACCTCACTCAACGCGGAGTTCAGCACCATCATCTTGTCCACACCGCTGCTAGCATCCAGGGATGCCTGCTCCTTCTTGATGGTCTGCATTTTTCTCAGCTGCATCAGAATCAGGACAGATTCCTTCCCCAGTATTCACAAATGCTTTAAAAACTGCGGTGGGAAAGCCATCAAGGTCCTCTCTTCCGTTCTGCTGTCCGGAACGAATCTCGCTGGCTCCTCTTACTGAATGGAGCAGGGGTCTTCCTCCTAGGTTCCCTGCAATACAGGAGAGGAGTGTTACCCACTGGGTAAGTATTTATTGTCAATTACGCACGAGGAGCTACGCTAAGCATGGAGGACATACAGGTCTGAATAAGACATAGCCCTTCCCTTCAAAGAGGCTGCCATTGGGAAAAGGAGATAGGGAGGGGCCCAAATGCCTGTGCTGTAAGCTGTAGAAGACAAGTCCCCAGTGAGACCACTCAGCAGAGTGCCACGTGGTCCAGGACACTGGGAGCAAAACCACATGTGCCCAGGCAGAAACAGAGGAAGGCTGTTTCAGGAGCAGAAATGGCGGGGGGAGGAGGGCGCGGCACACAGAGACAGGACATCCCAGGAAGGAAATGACAGATCGCCTCTGGTTGGTTAAGTTTTAAATGGTACTTGCATATCGTGGTGCTTCTGAATAATTTTAGGTGACATTTACATCACTACAGAGCAAACACGCTCACCCACCTTCAAAGGAACTTTCCCAGGTACACTCTCATACCCATACACAAATTCTGCAATTACATGGAATAAAATATACCCTAAAGCGAACTCTGTATTTTCACAAAAATGAAAATAAAAGCCACACAAACAACCCGAGTCGTGGTTGTTTTGATCTGACTCTAATGTGGACACATAGCTGTCCATCACATCCCTGACTGCATTCTGCCAGGTGGCTCGGCACACCTGGATGTACAGGACTCCTCTCAATAGAGCCATATCTTCTGATGCATCTGTGCTATGACATTAGATATGTTCCTCCTTTTTTCTGGTTCCTTCAAATTGATTTATCAAACATCCACTTAAAATTGAAGCACCCAAGGTGCTTTTTCGGGAGGGGGTCCTGAAAAGTCTGCCCCAGTAGATTTCATTTATGCGGTAGTTTGGGACTAAAATAAACAGTTACTATTCAAAGGGACCTTTTTTTTTTTTTTTTTAAGTAGAGTGCATTCTTGAAACTTAAAATTATTTTAAACCCAGGGAATGTAATTATGGAAAGAATTTCTTTCCATTTTACTAATTAGTTTCAAACAAAATATAAAAAAACCCTCAAAAATAGAACCATCGGCTAGCTTCCTTTTCCACTGATGAGATATTTATAATCTGAATTTGGCTTGACATGAGGTAATAAACCCATGTTAGATTCCAATAACAATCTTTTTGTGGTGGTTTTTGGACTCAACTGTGTTTCTCGACAGGGCTTCTCTGCCTGATTTCCCAGTAGGTAATACTTTCATAAAGGAGACCACCGTTCCTTCAGTGCTATCTGCATACGGCACTCTCTCCTGCCACATTAAAAAGATTTAATGTTTTTGTTTTACATCACTCTCCCTTTCTTGTGCATAGTTTTGTAATGACTAATGAAGTGAAGTTTAATTTTATCAGCTGGAAAAGCCTGCCAGCTTCTTGTGCCTTTTCCAGAAGGAACAGAAGAAATGATGTAATAATTTCAGGATCATAAAGAGTAAGGTTTAATGCCACATTTTTGTCCATCAAGCTGAGCCAACATGGAAACAGGCAGTTGCGACTTAGCGAAACCCATGATTAATAACACCAAGTTTCAGTTTGTTTTTGATAACACGACGTGAAGGCAAGGTGTCTGCACAGTAGGCAGTGATGGTGTAAAAAGGGAATCTTTCCAGTTATCACTTAGTGCAACAACACTGCTTTCTATATTCCCACTCAGGTTCGTCTTCTGACACGAAAATCCATTCTTTCCTCTACATATCAATGGACTCTTCACGGCTAGTAAAGATTTCTGTTCCCCAGCTCGGTCAAGTCCCCACCACCAAAGTCAACTGAGTGTTGAGGCAAAGAGTCAAAACTTTCACCAGCTGGAGGACTGTGGCACTGATCTTTTTTGGGGGGGTGTCCTTCAAAGCTCCACCAGCTCCTCAGGTACTATTTTTTTAAACATCGTATAGTTCCTTGAACACTATTATCTGGATACATTTTCCACTGGAGACTCACTCTTTCCCTTGCATTTTAAACTGTGTCCCCTCCTTTAAAAAAAAAAAGTCACATTCTTTTTACGTTTGTCTCCCCAGTGAGTTTTCACAGTTACGCTTTTGAAATGCCCCACCATTCTGCCTTAGTTACTCTTCCTAAACTTTTCCTTATTTCACCATTTCTCACCCATTTTTATCATTTCCAATCTACCAGGGGGGTTGGGACTTTTCAGCCTCCTGGTCCGAAGGCTGCATGTGCCAGGAGCCTCCAGAGTCGGGGGGCTGCCCTGACCACACTTCGTGGAGGACACTGTCCCACACTCCATCTAACGAAAGTATCCCCCTTGTCTTAGCATCTCTTCGACCCCTCTCTTCTCGCAGTCTAAGCACTACGTGTCCACTCTGTCATCTTTAGAACTTCCTTGGTACATTCAAAACCTACAGGAAGTCTCCTTTCTTTTCAATCTCCTTCCTATGTGAATTTTACTACATGTACCAGAATCTGGGAGTCTTCCCTCATCTGCAAATACTAATTGTCTCTCTGACTCACTGGCAAATCACCACCTACTATCTTAAGAGTATCTTCTGTAATATTTTTTATCAAATATTTTTTATCAATATTTTTTACTTGATAAAAGTAATTTTTTACTTGATTAAAAAAAGTTTATCACGTGTATGAGATAATGCACAGAAAGGTGCTGATTTCGTACACTGTGTCTTTCTGCAGGTTTGTTTTGTACATCCAACTAGTCTGCAATTTTTTTCAGGGTGCAAAGTATTGTCTTTGTGTCCTAGCAACAAACTGAATGTAGAGGTATCCGACATTTGATTGGCAGTCACTCATTTGCCTTATCTAAGGGAGTTTTATAAGTGAAACACTTTCTGATAGTTTTTTTTAACTGAATATTATTATGTAAATTCTAAAAAAAGACATTTTACTTGTTAACAGAGAGCTTCTCTTATTCGTTAATTGATTTACTCAACACAGAATACGGAGCGCCTGCTGTGGACCAGGCACTGAGCCAGACTCTGGGGGCACATAAAGAGGGAGGGAAAACCCAACTCAAGACTCAAGGTACCCCTAGTCTCCCGCGGGAGCCAGACCGGAGAACCCAGCACTAGGGGAGGCATGTGTGATGGGAGCCGTCAACATGGGGACCGGGTCACCCAGCACATCCTTTCTAGCCCCGCTGCTTGTCTCTTGGTATGGTGACAACACCACAAGCAATCCCAACAGGTGCCATTTACTGAACACTTACCACACAGTAGGGACCATGGGTCTGGCCTCTCCTGTGTTCATTACCCTCACGACAACGGTTTTCAAAACAGAAAAGGCTCGGAGAAGTCCAGTGACCTGCCCTGTGCCTCCCAGCTGGTTAAGCAGCAGAGCTCAGCTGCAGCCCAGATCCCAGTCCAGCTCCCCTACCAGCACCCTCTCCGACGCTTGCACAGGGTTGTTCTGGTGCGTGCCCAGTTCCTCTTCTGGATCACTCCCACTTCTGAGTAATACACACCCATTTACTACGTTAGTCTTGCAGTAGTAAGGCACCACCAGATGCGGTGAGAACTTCCTTAAAGCAACAAAGGTACCACCTGGAACTTTCCTCCAGCCTCTTTGGCTGTTGTTTTATATTCCGAGAGTATTTAATGAATTACAAAAACATTCTAAACTCTCATCTCTGCTAAAATTTTAATCTCCTGACAATCCTATATGCTAAAATAGGGGAAAAGAAAAACAATGCCTAGGGGCACTGGATCCTATGATTTTTTGGTACAAAACCAAAAAGTATCCATTTTCAACATGGAGGGGAGGTGGGTAGTTGAAACACAGAGAGACTGAGTGACCTTCCCAAGATCACACAGTGCTGAAGGGCAGAGCTGGGCCTTAGAAACCAGTCGTGTCCCCTGAGAGTGAACTCAAAGAAGTGCTAACGTGGTTTACACGGCTTTCTAACACATTGGGGTTTATGCTCAACTAACGACTCTGTTCCAAACTGTTTTCCCTTCGCATTGATTTAACGCCCACGTCGCCTCTGCGTCACGCTTTCGGGCCGCCACCAGTGCTAGACTGTGGGCGCCCCTTCCATTTCCTTTCTCAGGCAACTGTCCCTTCCTGCCGGCTCTGTGACACCGGCATGTTCGGCGTGATCAGCCTCACCACCCCGGTTAGATAACAGGGCTGCTTCATAAGAACACGAATAGAAAGAGAAATCGAAGAGCCGGAGATACCACATTCCCACCGACATATCTTCCCGTCCCTAACGCGGGCCACTGTCTCTAATTCATGCTTTTCGGAATACGTTACACCACTTCCACAGGCGGGAGTTAGGTTTGGTAAACGCTGAGCTGTCATGTGTATTCAAGTCAGATGACCTAAACGTGATCTTTAATTAAGATTATAATTTGGCTTAAAAAAGTCTAAAAAAGAATACAAGTTCACAACCTCTAAGTCTCCACCAAATTCCTCCTCGAGGAGTGACATGGTTACTTCTGCTTACAGAGACAGACCTGCACCCGTCCCGGCCCCCAGCGCACCTCCCAGAAGAACCGTGGCTGGCAATTCAAACTCTCTCCAAAACAAGAAGGAACATTTTGTCTCCAGCATCTAAAATCCTACCAAGAGTTTAGACATTAAATCGTCTACTATGAGAAAAGTTTGTTATTAATGCTCCCTTTAAAGGGGAAGTCTTCTTACAAATAGCTTGTATTACATATTTTGATTTATAAAAATTTACACAAGATGAGATACTATTTGGAGTGCTCCATATTTGGGAAGCATTTTTGAAAGAGAACTATCTCATTGTCCTCCACTCTCTGGATATGCCATTTATTCCCTCAGAGGCACAGTATAGGTACCATTAAAGAAAAAAAAATCATTTTATGTTAAATTGTAAACTATCTGTCCACTAAGCAGAGAGCTGCTTGTTTTTGAGATACATGTCATTTCGGTGAAAAATAAGCAAATAAAGTTAATCAATTCACAGCTCTTTAAACTATTAAAACTAGCAAAATGTCAACCTACATTTCTCGTGGTAGGGTTAACAATTGATGACATGACTGTTTCAATAAAACGCTTTACTTCTGTTCGTGGATAAGAATAAAATCCAGTACTTAAAAGCAAAGATCAAACAGGAAGAAATACGCATGTGCAGTCAAAGGGGATCGGGGGGGGAATGTGTGTGAAAAAACTCAGCGAGCGCTGAAGTCACAAGGGGATTTTCTCATCAGGCTGAAAAATTAAAGGCTTTTCTTTTTTAAAGTAATCTCTATGCCCAACGTGGGGCTGGAACTCACGACCCCAAGATCAAGAGTCACACGCTCCACCAACTGAGCCAGCCAGGTGCCCCAAAGGCTTTTTAAATTAATAAAACTATGCTAAACCTCTCTAATTGCCAATGAAGTGCCCCCCGTTCAACAAGAGAATTCTATTTCTAGTCACACAGACTTTAACCCTAACATTAGAGAGAAATGTGTACGTGATCCAGATATGAACACACACACACATGAGTGATTCTCATGCTTTGCCAAAGTCTGTCCTATCATAGCAACAAATTAACCTACTTTTTCTATTTGGGCGCATTTGTAAATAAATGTGTCAAAATCTGATCAAGTTTATGCTATGTGAAAATATTTCAAGTTTCTTGCACTCTCATCCTCAACAAAGGACCACTTAAAAATTAGATTCAATCTTAACAGATATGACAACATTGCATTTGGTGATAGCACTGATAGAACTTAAGGAACTGAAATATGAAACAGTATAATTTGACACTCTTTTATAAGAGGCCTGTGTTTGTAACCTACAGCGCACAATGCAAATATTCGGAAGACTGTGTGCAGGAAGGGCAAAGATGCTAACACATAGAAACAACTGCATGGCTGGGGAAGGAAAGACCAGCCACACCCTCACTGAAGAGGGAGAAGAATCTGGGTATGGGGTTAGGGGGGGAGAGGAATAGTAAAGCATTTTTAAAAAGCTGCAGTCACTTCAAAGTGGGGACCACTAGTTTCCTTGCTACTTCCAAAGATAATGTATCAGTCTGACAACTAATCTGAAATCCTAAGGGATGCCAACAATCACAAAGTAACTGTTACAGGAAATTCTGCCATGGGTTCCCACCAGCAGAGCACGTGCAACACGCAGAATGGTGGCAGAAATGGTGTGGGTGCAGGACTGAGGTGGGGAGGGCAGGGAAAGTTCTTGAATGTTTGTAAGTACACTGAAGAACCAACCACTCCAGTTCTCCTCAGCTTGACTTTTTGATTTCTTCTTTTTTATTTCACTTTCTTACCCAGTGAGCAGATGATTACAAATGTCATTTACTTTACTACGTGCCTTACGAATAGGACGGATTTTTTTAAAAAAAATGTTTTCATGTTTACTTGAAGGCTATTGAATTGCCCTTTAAGATCCTTGGAGAGTTAATTGATAAAGACACCATGGTCTGATAACTAAAGGCTTATAATACAAAGATCATTCTGATTCCAATGAAACTGAGTCCTCAAAGCACAGATTATTACGAATGGCATCTAGAAAATCCCCACTAAACTTTATCATAAAAACAAGCTTAAGCTCTCTAATTAAAACCGTATGAGAAATGGTATTTTTTTTTTTAACTACAGGAAAGTTATTTGCAAAGAAATTTGAGAGGTGATTGGGGGTAGTGGTAATACAAATTAATTTTGAAACCGAAAAAACTCTTATGTAATGTCTGTGATCAAAGGTCAACGTCTTTCGACATTCTCAATGAGTCTGATCTGGATAAAAATCAACTCAAATACAATTTAGGAAAATAACAGGATATCAGACAATGTGTTAATCCTGTGAAATACTGGCACACCTCACAAAACCCAGAAATGCATATTAAAGGAGCTTCAATTACATTGTTTCTGTCATAGTTTGAATCGAATCCCAAGTGTGCTCTCATTCCCTCAATACAAATTAAAAATAAACAACTCCTCACAGCATCAGTGCCATCTGGATTACAATGGAAATAATGAAGTATGTGTGATTTTAGCTCGGGTAAAAATAAAGCCGAGGCAACATGACTGCACCTTTTCCATGCCATGCGGCAATCACATTCACTTGGTGGAGCTGACTGTGGACCAAGGCAAGGTCAACTAGAAATATCCACTCCGTGGGTGAGTCAGGCAGTTGCTCAACACGGGAAAGCGCTCTAACAAAGGGTTTTTAATTTTCAGGTTGTTGCATCACACTGATGTTATAATTGCACTTCGCAAAGATAAGCCTTTAACACAGAAAAGGAAATTGTTTCAAAGACTCCAGTGAGCTAGCATTCACACTCTGGGGAGGGAGAGAGATGGGGGGGGTGTTACTAGCACAGCCCCCCCTCCCGTTTTCAGGCTGGTGGTCTGGGCTGCTAATCCATCTGTTGTGCCTCTACTCCCTCACCTGTAGAATGGGGATGGTGATAGAAGGCAGCACAGTGTCAGGCACAAGCAGGCTAAGGGGCTAGGAATAAGCTCTTCATTTTATTTCTTAAGAATGAGCAGCATCAAGGCAATGCCGATGTTGAGTGCCAGGGCTTTTGAGCCTCTCACCATTCTTAGGGAAGCCCTGCCCTGTGCGGCAGGTAGAAGG